TTAAATCTTATACATTTTTTTTAGGAAAATTGATTGAACATATTAAAAAGGAACAAAGGTCAAATTCGAAAAAAAGAAGAAAAAGCATTGAATTACTCATACAGGATATCAAAGCAACAACAAACTACATTGAATTATATAAAACAAAAACTATTATTATATATTATCTTTTAAAATGTTTAAATTCATGAAATGTGACAATATAAATGTCTCTCAAAATTACGTGTAAGACGTATAATAATATTACAGGAAATACGGCAAAAGTTTAGCAGCTACGTTTTCAAATATAAAAAAAAAATATTTATCATTATATCTATTTTAAATTATAAAAAAGTCATGGTGTTGAAGGGGAAGGTAATTACGATCTCCTATAGTTAAAGGCCCCCATTTACGTGACGATTTGAACGATTCAAAATTTCAAAGATGACCAGTAGCGATGGATCGATACGATTATCGTGACGATCGATCGAAACGAGGAATCGTCTGTACATGGCGGTCTTAACAATATAGTGAAAAAGTACTAATTATGAATGAGTACTTTCCAAAAGTAGGATCTTTTCACTATATCTATTGGCACATATTAATGCACGTAATTGTAACAAAATACATATGCACAAATGTATACCTATAAATAAACATTAGAAAGGAGAACAACATTAAATAACTGGAGTTAAAATTTTTAATTAAATTAACAATGGAAGGTTTCTCTTAAACACTAAAAAGGACTCCAAGCCCATATACTTTTAAAGTAATCGTTATACTAAACATTTTAAGAAAATATTTTATATTCAAAAAGAAGGGTAAAATTGGCACGTTATCATTGCAAACCTAAATTCGTGATTTAGGTGCATTAAATATATATATATATATAGAACCATTTTAAGAAGAACATCGTTATTATATGTATATCAGAGTCGTGCAGTCCTCTGGCTAGAGTGGACGGTTAGCGATGCAGGTGCAAGGGTAATGCTACGTAGTATCCATTCGTTGTCTCGCCTATGGCTCGATTTACATTACTGCGGAAGGGAATGGCGGCAAAGTTTAGTAACGACATGGTACATAATGAAAGTATAACGTACATACTTGGTACGCGCTAGCTCATGTAGCGCCCGAGTGCAATTAATACCCTGGCGCCCTCTAGTAAGCACGCGATTGAAATGGAATACTAACAGTTATATTTTTCCCAGTGATCGGAAATTCGGGGCAAATGGTGCAATTATAAATGATGTTGGTGAGCAATAGCCAGTTTACTTCGCTTGCACCGGGAGTGACGCAGGCTTTTTGGAGTTATCGCGAGCGGTGCTGGACAGCGTTGTGTCTGCCGAACACCTTGCACCGTAGGTAAAGCCGGCACTAAATACGTAGCTGCGGTAATTCCCGAGATTGCGCAGGAATTCTCCGGAAGACGCGCCGGCTGTTTTTGTCTCGTATCTAGTTTGTACGTTACGGTTACAAAAATCCACTTCCATTCCGTTCCGCGGCGCTGTAAATTGAGCATAAGACTTGCGTTAGCTGCTATAGGGAGTCCTTACGCTTATCGCCACGGAATCGCGGTGAGTCGGTCAGAAAAAAAAACGTCCATGCAATATTTTATTACCGTTCTTGCGAAAAAGACGTTGTGTATTTCGCTTCTGCTCTGACCACTGACGCCAAAAAAAGGAAAAAACCTTTTTCTAACACGCTCAAGCCGACTGTGCCTTAATAAGTAAGTCTCCCTCTACCTGCCACGCCGGTATGAAATTGGCCATAGCACCAAAATGACAAAGCATTGTACTACTTCTAAAAAATAAATGTAACAAAATACGTACTACTAATTAATAGTTCCCTTTAAACTTCATTAAAACAAAAAATGTAAAAAATTGTCCACGTCGTTAATAAAAGTGAAAATCACTAGAACAAACGATGTTTATCCTAAAATGATAATTAACTGCTGCAAAAAGCAACATTCAAAGCGTAAATAAATATTATATCTGAAATCTATTCGTGTATAAATATAACATTAAGCTATTTTCATAACGTATTGGTACATTTAAAGTACTAAAACATCGACAATCCACAATATCAATTTTTTTTTCTCAATTAAATAAATATAGGAATACAATATTATTATGTAACCGCTTGTTGCACGATACGTGTATAAAAAAGATAGCCAGCTAGTATGTTTTCCATAAAGCAAAACTTGAGATTTGCTTAAAGAATCAATGGAAATAACAATGCCTAATATATTATATGACTAGCTAGACGTAGGTACATCGCTTAAATTACGTTTGCGATATCTAATGTCGGTTGAACATAACCTTAGAAAAATCTATAAGTTATATGTAATTTTTTTTCCATAAGATTACACTTATGCAGTGTTTTTCATTTTATAATTTTTTAAATCATGTTATATTCAGCGCTTACTCAGTGTTCACCAAATGTAAGGAAAGCAGGCGTCAAGTTGTATATTCTATTTGCCAATAGTATATTTTCATGTTATCAAATTTTACAATCTATCTATACTTAGCAGATGGAAAGAATATATTGTGTGTCAAACAGATAATAGTGTAAAAGATTGAGACGTGTGAATTGTGAAGTTGATAGACGATTGTGTGTCGTTTGACGCTCGCGTTACCCTTATAAATGTAATTACCTAAACGATGACCCTGTGTCAGTCGTGGACTGCGCCCGAGGTGCGCGCGCTGGCGCAGATCCTCGGGGTCGATTTCTATCTAAGAGATTTAGAATCTACGCTCTACGCACACGTAGTCGTATCAGGCACTGCCTATCTAACGATACCGACAACGAGACGTCGCTAATATACGTAAACAAAGTCGAAGTTAACTAGGTTACAATACACGAATCTTTAGAAACTTGGCAGTTACGGTAAGGCGAAGACTAAGTTTCCGACGTGTAATCCAAATCGCGGAAACGACTAAATTCGCCATCACTAAAGGGCGAACGGGGACCGCTAACCTATAACTACACCGGGTCCCCGGAAAGTTCCTACCCTACTTACAATACAAGCGTCCAGTTCATCGAAGAGAAGGTTCAATTTGGCCGTGTCCATTGGCGAAATGGCGATGCACTGGCGAAACGGAGCGCACGTGCAGCGGGGCCGAGGGCGGATAGGGGAAGGCACGGGGTGAAGGATACGGCGCTGAAGCGGGCGGCCGCGGCGCGGCGCGAGGGCCGGCGCCGCCGCGCGGCATCATAGCGGGAAACAGCGCGCAGACCGTCGCGGCTCACTGGTCCCACGCCGCCGCCGTGTACTGCCGCTGGCTGCTGGTGCCGAGTGCACGCTGTTGGCGTCGCCCTCGCTGCCGCCGCGCGCGCCACCGCACAGGCGTTCAGGCTCGATCGGCTCCAGTTTGTGCATGGAAGCCCGGCTCGACAGCTTCGTGCTGTCCGCAGCGGGCGTTATCGCCGCCCTTTCCGAGTCGTCGTCGTCGAGATCGATCCGCCCCAGTTTTAGCGCCAGCACGTATTCAGTGCGCTCAATGACGCTTGTTGGCTCATCCTCGCACACCGTCGTATCCGCTATAGTAGTGGAATCGGCAGCCGCCGAGTCGGCTCGCTGCAGGTCACTCTGTGCCGTGAGGTATTGCCGAGTGTCGGCCGACGAAGGCGACGTATCGACCGCGCGCTTTTCAGGTGTCGCGAATACTGAGTCCGACGCCCAGCTACGTGATTCTGAGTTCTGGCGCAGGGTGTCGTCCACACTGCGCTGAGATGTCCGCCGACTGGTTCGAGGACTTTCGTCGTCTATCGCGCGAAAGTCTAGCGTGCTCAAATCTACTGGTCCACCGTGTTTCCGCGAGCCGTCACGTCTGAATGACGGTCTATTGGAGGAAAACACTGCGTCGTATAATTCGCAGAGACTCGTCCGGTCTGAGTGCGGCTCCTCGTATAGAGTCAAATTCCGCGTTTCCGTGGCATCAGATGATGTTTCATCGCGGTTTGAGGTAACTTCGCTGCGTTCCGAGATATCGAATGTGAACCGAGATTCGAAACGGTCGGGACTTAGTAGCGGAGCAGATCGCGAGCAGTTGTCCGGTTGTCTGGATTCCTCGAGGCTGTCGATAGGAATAACTCGGGGCATATTGCGACGTGGTGAGGGTTCCTCGGAATCTGTCGAACGATTGGAGCGCGGGACATGGCAGATGTGACGGCGCGTGAGGGCGGGCTGTGAACCGCACGGCGTACGCCTGCAGCAGGTTCGCTCGTGTCGCACATCCGATCCACTGCTACCGGTTGATTTCGAGTGCGGAGGTTTTCGACGTCTGTCATCATCACGTCCGTACAGCGATGTGAAATCTTCTGAACAAAACTTTTCAAAAAGCTCCTGCGAACTGAGCCGTGTCGAGCCTGTAGCATTATAAAAAGCCTCTGTCGGAGATTGTTCACCTTCGTGTTTGTCGTAAAGAGCGCTAGAACTCGCCCGCTTTGGTTTGTCCATTAAGCCAAATTTACAAATTCTCGGCATCCGGCGCTCAAATACGCCTTGTGAATGAGCCCGTGACGGTCCACGGTGGATGAGAATGTCTCGCCTTTCGGTAGGTAGTCGGTCCGAGGAGACGCCGCGGACGGCGGAGCGGTCCTGGGGCGGCAGCTCGGCTGGGGGAGGGGAGGCGGCGAACTCCGGTTCGTACTCGATTTCGTCCGGTGTTTCGGTGGATGGCCCAGAGCGTTCGAGGGATGCGCGAACACAATCGCACTCCTCGTGCTCATCGCTAAGATCGCCCTCGTCGAAGGAGGGCGCGCGAGGGCCGTGGCCGAACACCCGACGACGTTCTTCGGCCGCAGCGTCGTCGTCTTCGAGGCGGATGGAGCGACGTAGAGGTGGGCGATCGCGACGAGGGCGACGTGATGGCGCCTCGAGAGTGACGGCATGCGGCAAAGGCGGGCGTACGGAAGAGGGCAGCAGCCGGTCGAGCGACAGGCCGCGGCGCGGGCGCAGAAGACGTTGTGCCTTGCCCTCGCGTGGCGCCGCCGTAGGGCTGGTCTCCTCCGGCGTGGTGGGTAGCGCTGCGCCTCGCCCGAATTCGATGAACCAGAGCTCGTCCTTGAGTTCGCACTCTCACTTCTTTTCGTTCATGTCCTTGTTTAAGTAGTGCAGAACGTAGTGCAGCACGAGATCGTAGCAATATTTGTATTCAGTCTGAGGAATAACAAATAAGTCACAGCATATTTTATTTTTATTTCAAGAAGTCATTACTTCGGCATCCGCTAAATAGTTACCATGTTCTCAACTAGCTGCGGTCGGTGGCGCCGCACTGTCTTGACAGCCTGGAAGACGTCCACTTCACCATGCTGAATCACTTGCTCAATGCAAGCATTCGCTGCACAGTACACTCCTGCACGACTCCGACCATCCCTGGGAATCATAACAAAGTTAATGTTCTTTTGTTAATACTGGGTCCGGGTCAGGATTTAGACTATGAATAAGAGCTGGATGAATACTTCACATTAAATAGCACTTTGATTACGTAATATAATATCTACACCACCATTCCAAAGCTTTGTAGGTCTCCAAAATCATCAACTAAAAACAGCGTACCGTAACGGGTTGACTTTTATTGTGATTTTGTAGTATGTATAGTAGAAATTGTAATAAATCAAAGGAATTTCTGTTATTATTCGTATGAAAATTTAGAAAAAGTTAGGTTTAATATTTACCTATGATTTGTTAATGTTGTATGACCTACTAAGGCTGTCCTTCGTTCGTAAAGTGTTGACTTGTCTACAAAATTTATATCACTATTATAACTACTCTGATACTGCGTCAGTGTAAGTATCTCGTACACTGATGTGTTTCTCGGTACCGTCTTTTTTGCTCTTATGGCAAGGACATAAAGCTTTTTCTGATTTGCTTTAAAAATATTTCATTTTACATTACTGCGAAACGGAATGGAAGGTCTTTGTAACCACAGTGTAATGAATTTTACGTCAATTGTGTAACGTATAAACTAGATAGAACAAAGTACCTGCGAGAATTCCCGAGACTGCGCGAGAATTCTCCATAAAGTTTGTACGTTACATAATTGTCACAAAGTTCGTTATGTCATGGTTAGAAAGATATACACTTCCATTCCGTATCGCAGTAATGTAAATTGAGCCTAAATCTACGTTATTACTCACGGCGATACAACGCAGACAGGTCCGTAGTCAGTGCGCTGCCGCCACCTCTCGACCATATTCATTAGCTCGACTAGCGAGTTGGTAGACGAGGGCACTTTGTGGCCCATAGGCCAGCAAGTCAGTTGGAACAGTTGTACTGTCTTTGGTGGTGCTTTCACGCCGGCCATCAGCTCCGTAAGCGATACAATCTGATGAGGGCAGAAAAAAACAGTTTTCTTGATACGGTTTTCTTTTGGACGTGATAATTTTAAAATTGTCAAGAGACGCGACGAACAAATTGTGTGCCTGGTGGTAAGCAACGCGTCTACTAATAACATTAGCATTGCCACTCAGATTAAAAAAATTAAAATCACTACATAATTAAATTTTTATTGAATTGATATTCAATTATTTTTTGTGAAATTACTCCACTAGTTTGTTATAATTATTAATACAAAGATCCGGTCGGATTCGAACCGACGTCTTCTTGCATACCGTGCCAGACGCTATACCAACTAAGCCACGGAACTAACCAATGGACCTCACGAATTTTTCTATGTGCTTGCGTCGTTTCTTTGTACTTGGTCTTTCAACGACTTTTAAGTCGTAGCGCCATCTATGAGAAATCTATTACAGATTTATCACCCAGTTAGTACCTTTACAGCTACCAGTCCTGGTAGCTGTAAAGGTCCGACCGGATCGAAGGAATTTTTTCTGAGTGTTCGATCTTTGTATTAATAATTATCACTACATAATTTAGGCATAAATTTTACAAGTCCCATGTTCCAGCATTCTTCAAAAACAGAACGCAGTAATGCTCACATTACTGCTTGGCGGTAGAAATAGGTCTGGTGGCAGTAGTTCCCTGGGCGAACACTTTCACAAAGAACTCCACTTCTATGAATTTTTAGTGGCATTCGTCATTATTCTAAGGGATAATTAAAAGTACATAAATGTTATTTACCTTCTTGTTGATTCTGAATATCCAAGTCTTAATATTTGTATAATGATTGTGAGACACGTGATCTATCGTGAACACTGGTCCATATTTCTTCGAGTGTCGACCCTCAGGCCAGAATGGCGGAAATTGTTGCTGAAATTAAAATATATCGCGCGTTGAAACCAATAGAGTTACTACATGAAAATTTCGCGTTTTCAAATTTAAAGTTACTTTCAGAAACTTTATAATCCATTTCTCGAAAGTCTCGACTTTTTCTTTTAGTGACGATATTGGTTTCAACGAACTCAATAAGACTCAATTCCTTAAGAAAATTCCTTAATCGTACCGGTACGACTTAGGAATTTATGAAAATTATTTCTTAGTTTTATCAGCTAAATAATATATGTGTATACAACAAAACTAATTTTTTTTTGCCTTTATTATATAATATGCCTTTATTTGATTACTGAAGCATATTATTTTATTTCATTAGAATTTGTAAGTTCATTTCAGGAGAATTTTAATTTTATTTAATTAAAACTTATGATTTTATTTCAGAAATCATTTACTTATAAAATTTTCTTTCATTACAATTTTTAATTTTATTTCAGAAGAAATTGTAATTTTATTTCATTACAATTCATAAATCTATTTCTTAAGAGTTTAAAATTTTTGTTTTCTGTGTTCCCTCACACATGAGATTTTGGAATTGTTCTCTCACTTCAAAATTATTAAGAATTATTTGATTTTAACCGCCTTAGACCTTGATCTCTTCGATCTCCTTTTATTACTACTGTACAGTTTATGATGTCCTGACTGAAGTGTTATTCTAAGTACGACTTAGGTTACAGGTGGTACGAATTAGGTGACCAGGTGCCTAAATCGTACCAAAGGCGCTTTTTGAAATAAATAAAGATCCCGTTGACGCCAAAGGTTTTGTTTAATTTAAATAACCCTAAATATTACCGCGGCTTTTTCTTAGGGGGTACGATCATTGGGTACGACTAACGCAACCTTACCCGATGTAGCGCTTGGGTGCAAAATCCCTGGCGCCCTCTAGTTGGTACGCGATCAAAACTTACACATATAAAATTAGAAATATATAATTAGAAATTCGAGTGCAAATGGTGCGATTACAGTCGACATTTTTCGCGCTTTTTACTGGCGTCAAGCTCTACGGACTTACTGAAAATCAGCGCTGTGGTAGGTTACTGAAGAATATGCTAAGTCACGTGTTGACATGACGCTACAACACAGACTATATTATCTACTTAGTAGACTTTGCATCTTTGTTCTAATTTTAATTGATATTGTACATCTAATAATTATTTGTACATATGTAAACTGATAGTGTGGGTTTGTGTTGTTGTATTTGTGTTTATTCCTTAAAAATGATGTTTGGAAGCAACAGCCTGCGCCCGTATGAGCCGCACACCCTAGGTAAAGCCGGGACTGATACTATGGTTACAAAAAGTGCTTCCATATCCGTCCGTGGTAATGTAAATTGAGCCTTAATGTTTTTCATGGAGTTTCGTGTACTTTTGAAATAATGAATTAGACAATTAATTTCGCAAAAATTCTGACACTTATTGGGTATTACCTCGGACCCGGATATATGAAATACTTACGGAGTTTTTAGGAGGAACACATAGGACAACTACAGCAGCGCATTCATAGTCGTACACCAACGACCAGAATTCTCCTTGTGTCTTTATTAACGGCCATTCCGTAACGATGTACTCTCTGGGCTTTGTATAACCCTAGAAATTTAAAAGTCAGTAAGTAATCACGAAAGGCCAGGGGCCCGAGTCTGCTTACTTTAAAACATATCAGTTGTATGTTGATAGAGTGCAATGGTAGGATTTTGTACGTTTGGTATTTCTGGTAAAAGTTAAAAGTAGTGGATTGTCAGTGGTTAGCCATCAAGCGGCCATTGCAATTTTTTGGTATTCAGCTCACAGTGATGGCACATTTATGCGGCCATTGTAAAAATTTTTGCAAATTTTTGCCTTTGCTGTCTCTTTAAAACATTAAACAAAAAAAGGATTTCGTTTCGGTGTAATTAATACAGAAAGAGTAGAAAATCGAAATGAAACTTATTTATATGTTGTTACTTGTTATTTTTATATTTTCTTAAAAATATTCTAACTTTCTAATGACCGCAGTCATGTAAAATAACAATTTGTGATTACCTATGGCATAAAATATTTGTGTCTTAGTAACTCGAAAACTACTTTGTCTATTCTAAGACCATTTGGAGATATTAATAATTTAGCTTAAGGTTGTTCATATTTTAATGTTATTGGGTTTAATAAACGAGAAAAAAATGGCTACGGTAATTAGGCTGAAAACACCGAATTGTGACCGTACGGCGTAGTCTACTAATTATTTCACTTAAAAAAACATATTTAATTTGAAGACTAAATTGCTGATTAAACGAGATAATCTCAATGGAGTCTCATTGGAATTACATTGACCAGTGGATTACAGAAAATAGCAGAATCGGGACCCAGTTTAATTCGCGCAAGTGGAAATACCGCGGGTGACGTGCTCACTTCCCGACGCCGAAAAAACGACGTCTCTCGAGAAACCTACAGTAGGAAATTAAAATAAGTGATTGATACCAGTCGACTACATTTTTATTTTTAAATTAAGCCTAAAACACATAAGTAAAATAACGGGCCAGATTAAAAAAAGACTGCATTACTTCAAGGATCTGGTTTTCCGTTAAACGTGCCAGTGTATGCAATTATTTAAAATAGGTGGCACTTATACTTAGGTTTAAACTTAGGTGGCAGTGAAGAGGCACATTACTCGTCGAAAAAATGGCCAATGGATCTGAAAAGTTCTTGAGTCAAAAAGGTGGACCTACGACCTGGTGGATTTTCCGGGAGCGCAAAACCAGTCGTCCAAACGACCTTAGACAGGCTTATGCCGAGCAATGGACGTCTTTCAACTGAAGTACTTATAATATTACTTACATCTACGAACACAGCATTTATGTAGTCTGTAAAACTGTTCCCTTGGAAAGACGTCAAGTATGGACGAAAGTTATCAGCTGCAAGAAATAATATCGAATTACTGACAATCAAGAACTAAAGTACAACATTCACTTAATTCATAAATGATAGATAAATCAGATGAACTTACGTGGCACTACCAGCACGTCACGATTTTTTTCCCTATTGTCACCTCTATGGCCGCCAGCGCAATCTCCTATGGTGAATCGTGGGGTTTGCTTGCAAATCTGTTGATATTCCTTTTGATACTCATTAAGCTTGGTCACGGGATCCCTTTGGGACTTCTGCTTCAGTCTTTGAGAAAGTTCGGAGACGGGGAACCAGGATACTCCGCAGACTACGTGTTCCTCTAACGTGTCATACACGAATTTGTATTGTTCCTATTGAAATGTAAAAAAGAATTTGTATGAACTTTCGAACTAGATGTTTGAATAGATGATTCTTTCTTGATGATACTAAGTAACGGGATTAACAAGTCGAGCACCTGGTGGTAAGTGACACGCCTGTCCAGAACAGTTGCTGTGCCACTCAGAGCTTTAAATCGCAAAGATTTGAGGGGCACTGCCCCTGTGCCAGTTACCCTGATAAGTAAGTTGAAAAGTTCCACGTGCTTGTTATTTCACCGGCACTGTTACCTTTCAAAACCGAAACCTAGTAATTAATACTCACATTACTTGGCGGTAGAAATAGGCAAGGTGGCAGTACTTCCCTGGACGAATCATTAAACAAGGAGCTCTACTGCTACTAAAAATTATAGATTCGTAATAGATTGGTATGTATGTGCGATACCAGTTTATACCAGTTTAGTTTATGTTGTTTAAGAATTACGTGTTTATTTAAATGCTTCATTTTCTTCAAATTTACTTCATTTTTATTACTGAATATTATAATGTTATTACTGTTCTAAAACTAGTATTGTAATAACAGAAATTTAAGCTTTTAAACGAGTAAATATGACCAAACAGTCTGAGTATAATATAACTAAGTAGCCTTTACACGTGGCGTCCCAAAAATGCTTTCCTCGTAGTGGTCGTGTGGGCTGCAGCATTAATTGTAAAAGTCGCTGTTGCTCAGCAAAATGTAGATTTCGCTATACTACAAAGGTTTAGTTAATTAACTAAATGTAAACAAACCGTAATGAAGTAAGTATTTTATGAGGCATTACCTGGTTACTAATTGTAAAATTATAATGAACTTTTCGAAAATTGTTTTAAATACAGTGCGTTGATTTGCATTCTCGCCATATTAAAGAATTTCGTAATATAAATAATACTAAATCATCTAAAAATATGAAAATATATTCTGTTCAATATTCTGACCAATTAATTGTATTTCGTAAAGTTTTGCAAAATTGTCTTTAAATCGTATGCACTGCGCCTGGGCAGTGAACGCTCGATCACTCGGTATTTCACCAAACGATACGCAATCTTTCCCGATTGCTAAATTACCAATTTTTATTGTCATGATTACGTATTACTTACCAATTTTACATTAGGTACCTACCTATTAGAAGGAATTGCCAGAACTGTCTTGTCTGACTGGTTTTGCAAAAATTCGCACGTTGTCGAGAGTTTCGTTTCAACTGTCTGAGTTAGCACATTTGACTTCACAAATTTTGAAAGCGGCAACGGTTTTTGCGCGGAATTGCTCGACTCTCGGTAATCTGCGCCGTGTAAACTAAACGTTTCGCATCATCCTATTAGTCAAACGCTTGCCATCCATAATCAGAGAGAAGGAGATCTTAATGGTAATACAGTTCTGGTGAACACCAAACATCTCTCAAAGCACGCGCGATTGACTGCGCACTGATTGAAGAGGCGCCCGCTTGAGAAAGAGATAACAAGAGAGTAAAAGAGTCGTCCGCTGTGTGATAGCACGTGCCGTGCAAAAGTTCCATGACCTTTGGATCAGGTGATTCAAACTAAATAAAACTAAACTAAATAAAAAATAAGAATTTAAGAATTTTTTGCGATTTATTTTTTGTGGTTTGGGTTCAGTTTCGAAAATAGAATAACCTCTGTAAATATGGCGAGAATGAAATCAACACATTGTATAAGATAATATTTTCAGGTAATAGACAACATTTCGAACTACCTGTTTAAAATAGTACTAAATATGTAATGTAAACATAATACTTAATTTAAAATGTTTAATAACACGTATCACAACTTTCTTACGATAAACGACCTAAAATCCAGCTTTTAAAAAGATGACAGTTGTTAACAAGCGACCAAATTAAAAAGTACAGCGGTAATACGACGTAAGAAACTTACTACTAAATACTGTATTTGACCGGTTAACCAAGTGACAGCTGATGTTTGTTTACTTTTAGTAAATTACCCATAGTCAATGAAATTACCCAAGCCTTTGTACTATAAGCATTTTTGTTTTATTTTATTGAATATCATTGTTTTTTCTACCATAATATTCATGTATTTTTGTGAAAATTTTAATTTCGATATCTCCAAGTAACACTACGCCAACATAATTTTCGACCTGTTTTTATTTTGTTTTTTAATTTTTGTTTCACAAAATTCGTCTTTTGTTATTTTTTCGAATTTTGTTTTTTGTTTTCTTTTATTCCACAAAATTCGGGGAGCATAATATTAGTAAATAAATATGGCTGTTCCCAAAAATAACAGAAAATGACCAAAAAATAAAGTTGGCCTACGCCAACACTACTGTTGTTCATTGGAGGATATGTTGTTATTATTGATATAAAGATCGAACAAACACGAAGGTAAATTCCTTCGATTCGATTGTACTCGAACCACTGTCTGTCGTCTCAACGTGGCTACCGCTTTGTTATGAATCTGTCTGCTTGCTACTGCTGCTTGTGCTCTGTGTTCTCTGTCTGCTTGTTGCAGATCTTTGAATTGGGTTTTGTGAAAAACTTACGCCTCTTACATTTTTATTTTTTATAAGATTTATGTTCTATATTTCGTTTCAATCCGTTTTAAACAAAAATAAACAAACAAGTCACTGACCCGACCATAGACGGCTTAATGATGGCCAATTGTAATGCCACCTACAAATCGATTAATTAATTGAATGAATCGAATTGTTCAATTGAGTCGTACTAGCGGCTTTCCTCGCATAATCTATATGAGCATATTTAAAATTTCAATTTAAATCCTTTTTCAAATCCTTACACTTAGATACTCGTTCGATTGTGATTGAAATATTCGATATAATAATCGATTACTAAACTTTAATTGATTGAACCGAATGTTTTTTTTTTCAAACAGTACTATCCACCATAGTCAAGTCATAGAAGAACAGATGAAAAACCTCATTTTTGGACTACCATTTAAATGAATATTGTTGAAAAAAGTGATCAAGTCGAAACCTTCGAAATATACGTGGAAGTGTTACTTATTCGATTTATTGAGTGGTTGCTTTAGAATTTTAACCAAACAATTTTGTTCAAAATGGATTGCAACAGACAGGATTCTTAAAGCATAACAAATAACTTTGGTGCTTACTTCGTTTTCTATAAGGCCTTTTCTGGATTGTCGGAGTTTCTTGAGGTAACCGAAAACATCGAAGCAGTCTTCTTCCTCAGCCAGCTCTAGATTGGCATCGATTGATAAATAAACTCCTGAACGACCACCTCCGTCACTAGAATAAAGCGTATAATGTTAGACACTCGCTTCTTGTTTTGCTTTCATTGTCTTTAAAACTACTATACTTGTCGATGCCAAAGGTATCTTATTCATCATGAAGATGGCCTAACCTAAGTCCTACGACCCAGCAAATAACAATGGGAAATATAATTACACGTTTCATTGATTTGTGTTTGTCGTTTTTGGTTATAATTATTTTATAAAATATGGCACGATTGGTTTTCATGCAGATGGCGGTACTTGTGACAATTTAGGTATATGGCTACAGCACCGAGCGAACCTGTGAACAAATACATTAGCCCGTACTGATAAAGCTCTACGCTCCTTCTCCATATCGTCATCGTCTCTGAGATAAGGCTTAATTAAACGTCCAAGACGCATCCTGCATACTTAAATTTAAATACTCTTAAACAAAGCTTAACAAAGTGCTAACACATTCAGTGCGATTGATTATAATATACACTGGGAGTTTGCGTGATTATTATTAAAAATATATTTTTTATATTATATTTATAATTATTACATAATATACATTGTCTGAGTTTGCTCTAAACTAATCTAATGTTATTAATAATAGGGGTTAAAGTATGAAATTGCCGATTTGTACTGAAAATCTAAATTGTTTATTTTTTAAATTTTTAACAAATTTATTTAATCAAAATAGTTGCCATTATTATCTATACATTGCTGCCATCTAATGGGAAGGTTATTAATGCCTTTGCGATAGAACTCCGACGATCTAGACTGCACAAACTGTGTGAAAGCATTTTGTACTGCCTCCTGGGAAGAAAACTTCTTGTCACGTAGATGATTGTCCAAATCACGAAAAAAATGGTAGTCCGTTGGAGCAAGGTCTGGTGAATACGGAGGATGACGAATGGTTTCTAACTGCAGTTCCTGAAGGGTCAAAATGGTTTCTCGTGCTGTGTGAGGTCTCGCGTTGTCGTGGAGCAATAATGGTGAAGATCGATTCATGAGTCGGGGCTGTTTTACTGCTAGTTTTGTCAACATGGTTCGGAGTTCGGCACAATAGACATCTGCCGTTATTGCTTGACCAGATCGGAGAAAACTATAGTGAATAACACCATGCTGAGACCACCAAACAGTTACCATTACCTTTTTATTGGTAAGTTTTGCTTTAGGACACTGTTGTGGCATTTGACCTGGGGTCAGCTATTGCATTTTTCTTTTCCGGTAATCATAAAGAATCCACTTTTCATCACATGTTACAATTCGATCCAATATTCCTTCATTTTTGTACCGGTTCAACAAGGCAACACAAGTTTCAACACGCGTTTCTTTCTGCAGATCAGTCAAATCATGAGGCACCCATTTTTCGTATTTTTTTATTTTATTGATTTGACGCAAGTGAGTCAATATTGTGGGTAAGGTAACGTTAAACCATGCCGCTAATTCCTGGGTAGTTTGACTAGGATCGGCTTCCACTATCTCTCTTAATTCATCGTTATTCACCTGTGTGGGCGGTCTTCCTCGTGGCTCGTTCTTTAAGTCGAAATTTCCATCACGAAAGCGTTTAAACCAAAATCGCACGGTGCGTTCATTAGTAGACCCCTCTCCAAACGCAGCATTGATATTGCGGGCTGTTTCTGCCGCGTTAGTTCCGCGTCGGAACTCGTATTCAAAAATCACTCGAATTTTCGCAGTATCCATCTTTCTTGTCTAAATTGAATAACAAAAACAGTTGAAAGTCGATATTCAAATGTTTCAAATTAAAAAAAAAAAAATCACAGAAACCATTTGAAAAAAGTTTCATTCGAAAACCTCAAACCATGAAGATTCTATGAAAATTCAAAGAACCTATTGCAATAAAACGGCAATTTCATACTTTAACCCCTAATATTAATAAATTATTACAGGTTATCCACCCAATGCAATAGACTCGCAAAACTACTACATGTAACATAAGATATAAAGCGCAGCCTTTGTAAATTCACTCAGAGAATAATGAAACAGATCGATTCTATTCGATATTTCGTTCAAGGTGTGCAATGTGCGCGTTAGTGGACATTCCGTCAGTGGATTAGCTCTTCCACGCGGCACCGTCAGTAGTAGTAGACGGCGACGTCGCCCCAACGTACCTATCAGGAACACATAAGTCTAATATCCCTAGTAGCATCGGATTGCATAGCATACCTCTGACAACCTTCAATATATTATATCAATTTCATACACACATCAAAAGTCATGATTGTCAGTTCTTGGCAAAAATGATTTGATCTCTAGTTACTTTTGATTTGTGTACATTGTGATGCACACGTGGCCTTAGGGGGTTATAAACACTGAGACATGGGTCGCACAAACTTGACAAATCGTAGACCATCCCAATGTTGCCATGTGATTATGCGTACTAACCAATGAGAATCTCGGAATTCAATTCAATTCAATTCAATTCAATATTTTTTATTTCAGAAAATAATTTCCATAATATGTTAGTACGCTTTCAACTTAGTCTATGTTAGTATTAAATATTATCAAGTACATTTGTCACTAAATTTAACTAATTAACAATGTCGTCCAGTGGCAGGCTATTTTACACTCGAACTTACACCCCACCACCCTCATGATGGCATTGGAGCTGCCGCGCACTCTGAACATCAGCGACGCTACTTTCTTTCGAATTATCGCATGGAAGCCGTCAGTCCGCAACTTGGCAAACATGCCCGATGCACTGCAAGAACGCGGCAGCCCCAATAGCATCCTGAACGCGTTGTTATACTGAATACGCAGGGCGTTGTAGGTCTTCTGCGTATATGTCACCCACAGGCTGCTTGTATAAAAAGATTGGCAGAAGGCCTTAAAAAGCGTAATCTTGACCGCTTCTGAGCAGAGAGCAAACCTGCGAGTGATCATATTACTTCGTACCGCCAACGCCCTACGCTCACGCTCGATGTCATAGTCATCCTTCAGGTCTTCGGTTAAAATGTGGCCTAGGTATTTAAATTGCTTGACTTGCAACAAAGCTTTCCCATTTAACATGACAGGCGGAACGTTCAGTGGGGTACCTCTGCCGGCTGTGAAAACCATTATCTCACTCTTTTTGGTATTATACCTTAATCCATGAGTTTGCGCATAGGATTCACACACCTTTAGAAGCATCCTAAGCGCGCTAATCGATGGGCTCAGCAGCACCATGTCGTCGGCATAGCTGATGTTATTGATGTTAATGCCATCAATGGAACATCCCGCATGCATGCTGCTGAGCCCACGGATCAACTTATCCATGTACAGGTTGAAGAGCTTGGGAGACGTCAGTCCCCCCTGTCTCACCCCACACTCCAACCTGTACTCATCCGACCGTTCGTCCGCCCATCGCACACAGTTAACCTGGTTGTCGTACCAGTGCCTAAAGATGCCAATGAGCTCCGACGGGAGATTTGTCTCCTCCAATTTATTCCATAGAATGGGATATGACACTAAATCGAACGCTTTAGATAAGTCCAAGAAGCACGCATATACTGGCGTGCTTCTATCAGTGTAGTATCTGACAGTGTTTATTTATTTTATTTTATTGGAATTACATTCACAATAAAATTTAGCATTTTCTGAATAAATACATCAAAATAGATCAATTTTCGATAGAGCCACCATTCTTGAAAATCAGTGAATTATTTAGTTAGCCGGAGTAAGCGTCTTAAATATACTTCTCGATGCCTTAAGAAATACAAAATCAAAGTTATGATATTATAATTTGGAATAACAAAACTTGATTTAAGGGTAAGATCCACCTGTTGAAACCTTAGTTAGGTTTCATGTCAATCCAAGTAAGGTATATATCATATGGGCCATGTGGCCTGAATTATATAAATAAATAAATAAAAATTCTCACTTGCAATGCACGACCATCGGCCCAGCAGCTGGATTAGTTGCAAGGCGTCTGCCGACAACAGCCCTGACTCTCCTTCGAAACTCCAGAAGAGCGTTGCTGAATGGGCACGTATGAGAATGCCATTGCGTATAGTGGAACTGGAGAAGGAACCGCTCTTCTATCACCACCTGTGTAAAATTGGAGATGTTTTGGTAAGAATTATTATAATTTAATTGAGGCGACCACGATGAACACCACGAACATTCAAGGGGACGAACAAGTCATCCGCTTGGATGGTTAAGCGACTCGCCGAACCATGAGAATTTGTGCCACTCAGACTTTTAAATCACTAAAATCTAAGGGCCACTGCCACTGCGCCCGTCACCCTGAGGCATAACTTGACTAGTCCCATGTGCCTGTAATTCCACTAGCATCCTTACCCGTCCAAACCGAATTCCAGTAAGGCGCCGCGCAAATGTGTGTCTTGTGTTGGATACAAGCAACCGGCAACTAGAGGCGAATATTCTATATTCATACAATTTATTTTTATGCAAAGAAGGAGGCAAACGAGCAGACGAGCCACTTAACGGGAGGTGGTCGTCTTCGCCCATGGACATTTGCAACAACAGATGAGCTACCTATGCGTTGCCAGCCTTTGAGAGCCCTGTAAATACGCTTTTTGAAGAACCCCACGTCATAATTCACAGTCGCCGGTTGTGGCAGTCAGACGCCGTCGCCGGTTGCTGCAATCGCAATTGTATGAAAATGGAAAATTCGTTAGTTGCCGGTTGACACACGTTTGCTTGGCGGCCGAAATAGGTATGGTGGCAGTACTTCCCTGGACGCTCTTCCACAAGGAGTTCCACTGCTAAACAATTTTTGTTTAAAAAAAACTGTAAAGAATAAAACATTTTGGTATATCAATTTTCGTCTCTGAAAAGTAGCGAAATATATAGGATATCGTACGTTTTTCTCTGTCTTGTAAAGACGGAAGGTGCGTATGTGGAAGTTGGCTAGCTCCTCCTCTTGCACAATGCCCACACTGATCTCGCCGTAGGTCTCATCTTTCTCCTTGTTCGGAGGCCAGTACTGGACGCACATCACCTGTAAATTGAAGACTGAATTACTGAACTACACCTTTTAAAATATAATTAGAACCAAAAATTTACATGACACATGACAGTATTTAAAATACCTAGTATAGTCTTATAAAATTTTATTGAATTGATATTCAATTATTTTTGTGAATTTACTCCACTACTTTATTATAATTATTAATACAAAGATCGAAAAAGTCAGAAAAACTCGGTAAAAAACAGAAAAAACAGGAAAAACAGAAAAAAATCTGAAAAAATCACTTCGATCCGGCCGGATTCGAACCGACGTCTTCTAGCATACCGTGCCAGACGCTATACCAACTAAGCCACGGAACGAATCAGCAGACCTCACGAATTTTTCTATGTGCTTGTTGTCGTGTCTTTGTATTTCGGTTTTCAACGGCTTTTTGGTCGTAGCGCCATCTATGAGAAATCTATGAAAGTTTTATCACCCAGTTAGACCTTTACAGCTACCGGCCTAGTAGTAGTCTGACTAATTAGACAAGGCGTCTAATTAGCCATACTGTCAGATTTTAGATTTTAATTTCTTTTCAATACTATAATTTACGGATTTTTTCGCGGGAAATCGTGTTGTCTTTACGGTGGCCATTTTGGAATTCTTCGACAGTATTTAAAATTGTGTTGTTTTGATTGTTGTTTTGTTTCTTTTTTTAGGTTTTTGTTTTTTATTTTATTTTCTTACTGTATAAGTTGTGGCGTTGCAATAGAAGTTCTAAACTATTCTAAACAATACCGAACCAGTAGAAAACTAATCATTTTTTGTTATATTATATAATTTTTTTCTTATGATGCCAAATGACGGGTCGAACAAGTCGTGCATCTGGCGGTAAGCGACACACCCGTCCTTAGCAGTTGTGGTGCTGCTACATTTGAGGGGCACTGCGACTGCGCCCGTCATCGGGAGACATAAGTTGACAAGTCCCATGTGCCTGTAATTTCACCATTCTTTGTTTTTGTTTTTCAATCAAACCAACGTTTCGGGCCCTGTCACTGCGCCTATAAATAATAGATTAAGCTTAATTAACTTTAAAGAACTCGGTATTCATTATTCTACTATACCCAGAATCTCAAATACCTTCCAAGAAACATTTGAATTTCTATGTCGGATATATTTATTTATATTATATTTGCATCGGGAAACGGAACTATAGTTGCTTTCCCGAGGTTTATTCAGTTGTGCATAGGACAAGTCCTGCAATAGGAATATAAAATTCAATTTTCTCCGAGAAATAAACAAGAGTCTAATAGAAAATAAGCTACACGACGGCGAAATATTATAAAGGAATAATTTTCCTTCTCACCCACTTTCATAGGTTATAACCGCGGTACAAGGAAGTAATTTTTGTTGGAAATATGCTTAGTTTTACAATACAGAGCGCAACAAAAAGTGTAACCTTAAGGTTCTCAATTCTTCTGTACTTTTTTGTGAACCGAATTTGAGGATTTTTTCTAACGAAAAGGAAGTACCTCAGTCCCATTCCAACTTGAAGAAACTATTCCACTTCTAAGGGTGGCACTAGCAGATGTTTACGGCTTATTGAATTTCACCCACTTTCCGTTAACGGATTTCAATGAAACTTGGCACATCGATGTATTTCAAATGAAAATAAAACACAGCGAAAACTTTTGCAAAAGACCAAACAACTTGTTTACATACTTTTGAGGTCGGTATTTTTTAATAAAACCATAGTATTTCGTGGGTAAACCCACATGGATACCTCTCTGTCGCGATGCCAGCAGAGAGGTTAAGCCGGATTAGTACCGGCTAAGAGGGCTTACAGATGGCGACTTTTAGCAATTGCGATCGTGCGTTTGTATCGGTGCAGTCGCGCGTTTTGCATCGATGCAATAGTCTATAGATCGCAAGGGTATCGATGCAATCGCGAGTTTCACGAACGCGTTTTTGCATCGCTGCTTAAAATCGCATGCTTGTGTAAAGATAGATTCACAATTCACACATTTTTTTTTGCCGCCATTTATCACGTTACGCGATATGATTTTTAGTTGACCAATCAGGAGCTGCGATATTCTAACGCGCGATGCAATTTAAAAGTTTGCTTTAGGTGAGCTTTTCATCGCAAAACGCACCAATATGAGCGATGACGAATTCTTACTGTCTGATGGTGGGATCCTTTTTTCGATATAATTTGAAGTGTTTTTTGTGGATGTAAATTTAAATTTCTTATGTGGATTTAGCGGTAACTGCGTTCTAGTTGCTTAGTAGTAAAAATAAATTAACGGTAAGTGCTTTGTATTGCAAACATTAGTTAAATTTTAAGTTATTTGTCTGTCTGTAAACGATGGCGCATGTTTCTAACTAACGTTTTTCCGCTTTTCAATAAATACAATGCCAGAAATTAGATCTATTCAATAATAAGAAACATAAACTTCGTATTACTAACCTATAAACACCAACAAAACTCATAAACGACAAAAATACGAGGTCTCTCAACAAATATTGTGCATTCGCGGTCAAATCGCACTCCGCGATTACCACCGCAATGCGTTCAATTGCCGCAACTACATTGTGACTCATTTCTGTATTGTGAATCCACCTTAAAGGTAGACTTGAAGCTTGAAGAAGCGACTGTATCGCTACTGCATCGCGTTTGAATCGCTGGTGAGAGTCGCCGTGTGTAACCGCTCTTAATCGATGATTAAGAACTCTGTCAAGTCTGACACTTAAGTTTACAACTATTATTGAACTGTACGTTTGTTTTTATTCTTATTTTTATGATAGGTTTCAATTTTGTTGAAATTAAACAACTATGTGACCGACTAAAGTACGCTATTGTCTAAAAATGATTCACTATTATTTTGTAGACTTGAAAAACCCTAAATTGTTGTTTCCGGGAAACCCAGGCACTGTAGTGTGTTCCATTTCTTATGTTCCCTTGTATTCCATTATATTTACGCCTAAATTGATTTTTCTCATTAGATTTTTTAACCGATTTCAATAAAAAGGAGGAGGTTCACAATTTGATTGTATTTTTATTTGTTGTATGTGTATTACGGGATAACTTTTTAACGGGATTACGGGGCATTTGTGAACCAATTTTTGATTATTCTTTTTTTTTCGCTGGGTACCTCAGTATTGGCCGCATTCAAATTTGAAGAAAATATTCCACCTCTAAGGGTAGGAAACTAGGGGATGAATTCGGTTTCGCGCACTTTCCGGTAACCGATTTCAATAAAACTTGGTAAATAGATGTAATTCCACGAATTTGTGGTTTTTTTTTTATAAAAAGGTTACAATTGTGATATGAGACGAACAAGTCACCTGAATTACTTTTACCAACACCCTTACTTTTCTAAACTGAAACGCAGTAATGCTCACACTTTTACTTGGAGGCAGAAACAGGTACTGTGGCAGTATTTCCTTAAATGAACCTTTTCACAAGGAGCTCTATTGCCTCTAAAGTACGGTTGCTCCTTTTTGTAACACCTGTCTACATAGTCAATATTCTTTATTGGTAGTTAAACTTTACGTTGTTTCCTCTAAGGCGGAAGGAAACAAGTAAAAGAAAATGTTTTCACAACTTACCTATATCTGCTGCCAAGCAGTGATGTAACATTACTGCGTTCCGGTTTTGAAGCGTAAGGGTGTTGGTGAAATTATAGGCACATGGGACTTTTCAGCTTATGTCTCAGGGTGCGCGTTACTAAACACCAGGTGCACGATTAGTTCGTCCCGATATTATTAACAAAAGCGGGAATTGTACTACATGTCTAATTATACCATGGCTATACTGAGCAAGTTTTTTTTATAAATAATTATTAGACAACATTACATACGTTGCTCTGATCCCAAAGTAAATAGCTAAATCATTTGTGTTATGGAAAATCGGAAACAACCGTACCACAAATACCCAGATCCGAGACAATGTAATAAAGATAGTTAGATATAGATAGATAGTCTACACTGAACAGGCCGGGGAGCGAACCCGGGGATCGAACTCAGAGATGGCGACACCATGAAAACCGGTGTGCAAGCCACTCGACCACTGAGGCCGTCAAATTAAATATCGTATACGTATTTTGTTGCCTAACCTCAGTCTCACTTTTCAAATTCATTTCGAGAAGGTACCAACAGAAGTAAATGTCGTATGAATCAAAATAATAGGCGAATCACACATATTCTCTAGCATCTCTACAGAATAAAAGAGCCATTGAGACCCATACCACATTGCTTATGCACATATTTTACCTGTTACTTGTTTACGGCTTTGTAATATAGGATCCTTGAATCCTTTAGCTGAGGTACAACGTCTATTTAATAATATAATAAAAGTTTTTTCACCTTACTAGTTCATAAAGGCTTCCTTTCTCATTAGAAATCTGCGCGCAAAAGCGTGTTTTCCACGCTAGAGTGGAAAAGGTTTTTGAAATTCGAACTTGACGATCGACTTTGGTGGAATTAACTTTTTCTTTTGTTGAAAAAAAAAAAAGATAATGACACGTTCAACTACGCGATTTGTCGTTTTTTAATTATTTTTTTTTTACAATATCAAGTGACGGCACGAACAATTCGTGCGCCTGATGGTAAGTTACACGTCTGTCCATAACAGTTGCAGTGCCACTCAGTGCTTTAAAACTGCTGCTAAAAAAAATATAAAAAACTGGTAGCAAAAACATAATTATTACACTAATAATTAATAATTTATTAATAATATACTATTTTATATGTATTAATTACTATTACATTAATAATTCATTCGATTTATTTCTTTGTCCTAAATTAACATCTGTTTTGTATGGTCATACAGTCAACGCTGACCTTTAGACTTGTAAAGAGCCCGAAACATCTGGTTTGTTTAACAAAAACAAATAAACGCGATTCGGATCTGAAAAAAAACAGTTTCATTTCCAATGTTTTGGTATTTTGTTTGTACACTTTTGTAACCTCGAAATTGTCTTTAATTACGTTCTTTGTTTTGCTGAGACCGACTGTACCAATACCTACCACCAAGTTCTTAGTAGGGCTAGCACAATAGGGCGCGACTAGCGCGAGAGATGAGAAGATTTCTATGCGAGAATAGCGGTGTCTCGCGCTTCAAAGTTATTAAAATTTCATGAAAATATACCTTAAATGTTTACTCAACATCGAAATTACTTTGTGTGGCATGCAATGCACAGCAAAGAATACAACAGAAAGGCAATATAAATTAATAATAGGAAACATGAGAAATGGCTCAGCTATTGACTTATAAGTCCTTTGATGTATGATTTTATTGCGTATCTACGCAACTGCCATTTCTCTTATAATTATACCTTTTGATATAAAGGACATTTAGATACAAATAAACGTTTTGAAGGAATGTTTCTTTTCTTATACATAACGATAATTATTGCATTTCTCTTTCTTGAGGTTATTCCTTCAATTAATACGAACAATGTTTACATCAGCTGTTTCGAATATTTGAGTAATTTATTTTATTTAGTATGGAACAGATTACATTAGTTGTTTCACGTATTCCGGTCATTTAGTTTATTTAGTATGCAACAAATTACATTAGTTGTTTCGTGGATTTCGGTCATTTAAGTATGGAACAGATTACATCAGCTGTTAATTTATTTTGAACACTTATTTTATTTGATATGGAACATATTACATCAACTGTTTCAGATATTTTGAACATTAATTTTATTTAATATGGAACATATTACATAAGCTGTATCGTATATTTTGGTCATTAATTTTATTTATTTTATTTGTTATAGAACAGATTACAACAGCTGTTTCACATATTTTGAAAATTTGTTATATTTGGTATAGAACAAATTAAAGAAAACTACAAACAATATTCTTTAATTTCATTTCTTCTTCAGCACAAATTGTTTATACACTTGCTAACCAAATAATTATCCATTCCATAAATATGTATGCGTACTTATAATGTATTGAATGTTCACGGGGTAATTAATGATCAAAGAACCCCTGTAAAATACTGAAATGAGTTAAATACGGAAGCGTACCAAAATCAATATGCTATTATGGGATTGAGAGCAATGTGGGAGAATTGCTTCCTGAACTGAGAGGGTCAACGATTTCAATCCCGATGGCGGTATTTAAAAAGAAAAACAAGGTCGATATTCATTTTAGTAGTAGTGGAGCTCCTTGTGAAAGAGTTCGTCCAGAGAACTACTACCCCGTTGTCTATTTCTGCCGCCAAGGAGGACGTCAGCATTACTGTGTTCCGGTTTCGAACGGTAAGGGTGCTGGTGAAATTATAGGCACATGGGACTTGTCAACTTATGTCTCAGGGTGACGGGCGCACTGCCAATGCGCCTCAGATCTTTGCGATTTAAAGAGCTGAGTGCCACTGCAACTGTTATGGGCAGGCGTGTCACTTACCATCAGGTGTACGATTTGTTCGTCCCGTCAAATGATATTATAAAAAAAAAATTCCGCCTAGTATAGGGGAAATACAAATTTCTCTTCACAAACTTCTTGTCACTATGGTGACCTGTATAATAGTGGGCAGGCCTTCTTCGAAAACCGCTGTCACTACAGCTTAACAATATTATACAATAAGCTAATTCCTACAGTGAGATAAAACGTTTTTATAGAGGAATATATATTTTTGGTAAGTTTTTTTTATAATATTAAGTGACGGGACAAACAAGTCGTGCGCCTGATGGTAAGAGCTACACGTCTGTCCATAACAGTTGCAGTGCCACTCAGCTCTTTAAATCGCAAAGATCTGAGACGCACTGCCACTGCGCCCGTCACCCTAAATCTAAATGTACATATGTGCTTAATTGTAAATTGAATAATAAATTTAAAAAAAAAGTACATAAGTTCACAAGTCCCATGTCCTGTAATTTCACCAAAAGTTAGCATTTCTTTCGGAAGTTTTCTATATTATTGAGAAACTCAGTTTTTTTCTCGTAGAATTGTAGATAAGCCCATGATTGTTTGCTAAGTATGATTTACTTTCTATGTATTCTATGGTCTATATATTGTGCTTATTACTCAATAACTCATTTTAACAATTTAGTTAGAGCGATGCCACACGATGCGTAGCGTGTCGGCGTTGTGAAGACTTAGCGGTAAGACTGTGTTATATTACCTACATATAAATTAGAACTACATGCATTGCCTTACAAATAAATGGACGACGGGTCTAATACAAAAACCACGAAAAAAATGTCCCAAGTCAACCTATTTAAACGTAGTGACATGTCAAGGAATATGAAAAAGCTAAAACGTTGAATTTAAATTGTAATGTCATCGCAGTACTGTTTAATTTTGCTTGCTTCGCTGTCAGTCGAACAAACGAAGACTAGAGCGTGAATGACGCTCTGTATACGATTTTAACGCCCTATAAGTTCGGACACTTTTTAGCGCGGACCCGACGTCATATAATATAATTGTAAGTCAATGACTACATGCCAAATAGTGCGTTGAAACCACGGCAGAAAGAAAACTATGGAACTACTATAAGTCTCGATTATTATCAGAACCGCGGTCGCCTAAACTCACGCCTTCATAATTTGAAACATTTTGAAATCTTGATAATGATTGGTCGTAGTTCAAATGTTCAAATTTAAAAATAAATAATAAATTCTGGTCTGTTAATATAACTTAAACTGTACCCTGTTGGCATATAGTTGAAAGTTCCATATCAGCTTTACCTATTATTGCAAGTTGATATCATATTGAAATTTCAATCGATTTTTTTATTATTTTTTTATTTTTTTAGTTAATAGCTAAACGTCGACGAATTCGAGATGTTTACGGTGTTCTCCAAAAAAGAAGCAACCATACTGCAGCGGTATAAGATCTACTTTCGTTTCATATGACAAAAAAAATGGTTATGATAAACAGAAAATTGAAAATTTATTACAAACAAATAAAATAAGACTCAGTGACGGTACAAAACACCACCGTATATAATATTACAAGTGCGACTATAATTTTTGCACTCCAAAGTAGCGAAATAAGGCATTTTTATACGATTTTCGAGGTTTTGCGCGAGATAATTGATACGTCCATAACGTCCAAAGTGAAAAGTGCAGACTGAGCTCAAGTATGCGGAACTCCGTGACCTGTTGACACATGCCACGCAAACTAAGCTCTTCTACTGTATTTATTGTTCAGTGGTTGAAACGATGCGCGTTGATAGAAGGCGCGCGCGTCATGCAAGGGACTAGCAGGGGAATCTCCTAGTCCCTTGCTCGACGCGCACGGGGAGAGGTGCCGCCGTATCCACCCACGGCGGTGTTACTTTGCGATTGCGACACCGCATTACTCGTGTAGCACTCGGTACGTTGAAATCATAGTGTCACGACGACGCCCGTGTGACATCGCTCTTAGCATTATTGCAGTTGACCACACTTCGTTGCAATTTCATTTGTTCTGTTATTCTTTTGTAAGTTATATAATTTATTATTTTATGGCCAAGCGATGTCAGTGTAATCGAGAGATAGTATAGATATAGCATAGATAATATAGATAGTAGAGACGTTATACAAGAATGTGGTGTATAACTAACGTGTCCGTTATTTTTTGCCGTTTGTTTTACAAATAAAACACATGCTTATGATAGTTACGAAAGAAATATTTAATGATTAAAAAAAAATTTGAAGAGAAGTAAAAATTTTTGATGATCAAAAATTAAAAAAATACTTAATCTTGTATGGCTTCATCTTTCGCTTTCGTACCACTTTTTAAAATTATTGTCAGGTGTGTCCTATTTTGTCAATGCACCAAGATTAGATTTTTAATGTTATTTTATTACGTATTTAATTTTATTTTTGATTGTAGTTTATTTTATTGCACTTTTGAATATTTAACTGTAAACTAATATAGTACCTAAGGTTTTTGTTAACTAGTAAGTGGACCTATGTTGTCTTAAATAAAAACCATTAATTCGACACGAATTCATCGCGCTCACCCCGCTCGGCCGCCGCGCGGTCCAAGAGCGGAGTCCGCGTTGCCGCCGCGCGGAGACCGCAAACGTCTAACTGTCATGGCAAAATACGCTCGATTTGTTTAGCGTTTACGTTTTAATTTAAATGAGCGTTCCGGGCACGCGGGCTAGCCTGACTTAAATTTGGCATACGCGGAGGCCCGCGCGGGGTCCGCTGGTAATTTTATTGAGAGGAATTTTTAATGTACATGAAGGCGTGGTAACTGGGCGCTTGTTATTAAAAGCGGTGGTCACGTTATGTGTAACATACAGTTTTGCGATCAAACCTTAATAAAGTCGAAGGTCTTTGTAAGCATGACAATGGCTGCGGCGCGCTGCTGCCAAATCATCCGCCAGAAGTCCACCACAGTGTCCTCTGTTGGCCCCTGCGTCACGATGTACGCGTTTGGCTTTAATATACTCTGTGGACAAACAAAAGATTTGTTTATATTTTTATTTATTGAAACTTTATTGCACACAAGATAGTACAAATGGCGCTGTTAGACATTCTGTACCAGTCAGTAGTTAACAGGGGTGCATAATGTGACAAATTAAAAACAGATAAGATCAATATAAATATTTATGGTACTTATTTTAAACATAACACAAATGTACACATAATACATGACTAGCTAACTATTTTTACATATATAAAGCTATAGATAGAAATAGAACGCATACTTCCCGATATAGTGGAAAAAAGATATTTATACTGTTGTACGCGGTTAGGCTTCAAAGCAAGAATCAAATATGGGAAGACCTAAGTGTGGAAAATATGAAAGAGTGATTAACGGCCTGCAAAAACTATAATATATGGAGGAAATATTTGTGCATTTTCATGAGGTACACCCTGGTTAATTTCCGCTGGAAGTAGAAAAATGTTCGAAATTCAAATAAACAAGATGGCCGCCATACAAAGTTCAAAGCCTCCTATCACGGAAACTATTTGAGATAGGTTGGAGGTGCTGGAAGAAATGTTATACAAGGTAATAGTGGTCAACTGCCTGTGGCAAAATAAAATTCAAGATAGCGAATTACAAATGGCGGTCAAAGAAAAACTTACTTCGATCCGAATTCGGCTGAAAATTGGCATGTCGAGGTCTCTAGAAGTATAATATTTTAGGATAGGAAGGATAATAATTTGTGGTCAAAATTTGATGTTGGCGGCAGAAAAAAATTTGTTCTGATCCTTTTGAAAATTGGCATGTCTCTAGGAGAGCTTGATAACAATTTATGATAAACATTATCTTTCGCCATTTTTCAACATGGCCGCCATACAAGCGTTTATACATATTTGCTTCAATATAACTATACAATACAAAAAAACAATATAAAAAAAATATGTATAGGGGTGTTTGATAATAATTTGCGGTCAATTTATTTTTCGCCTTTTTTAAATATGGCTGCCATACAAACTTTTTTGGCGGTAGATAAACATTTCTTCTAATTCGACTGAACTCATATTATAATGACTTCAACCATAATTTGGGATAAAAATTTTGTTTCCGCCATTTTTTGATATTGCCGCCACACAAGCGTTCTTTTTTTATGTAAAAGGCTGTTGAAAAAACTTGCTTTGCTCGGGCTGAAAATTGGCACGAAAAGATTTCTAGGATTGTCTGATAATAATTAGTGGTCAAAATATTATATTTTTGTAATTTTTAAATATGGTCGCTATTGAAGAGCTATTTAATTTTTTTAAAACAAAGTCTTAAGTACCGGAGACGTCCGAACGGTCCGAAGCGTCCGTAGGGTAATACTTACAGATGCGTAATGGATTACGAGTACAAGATCTCACAATTGTAAAAATGTAACCCATACCCGATGTAGTGGAAATGAGATACTTATAATAGCGTTGTTGTATCTCGACCGTCTCTCTGTTAGATTCCATTTTTTTCGAAGCTGTGCCAAAGAGAATTAGGTGGAAACAATGCCAAACTACTGCCCAATTTCCTGTACTAGGAATACCAGGATAACGATAACTCTGAGGGCAATACCCAGAATACTCAGACCAAAATCAACTTACAAATATTTGTTTCTTAAATTGGCCTAAATCATGCCATTAAACTGGGTTATTTGTAAAATACAGACAACCTCTCAGGACTATATTACTAACATCATAAAGAAAAACTTCTTCCATGACTTTTGAATCTGATATCAGATTTTACTTTCATACAAATATTGATAATTCTGTGCGGTAATAAAAAATGTGCGAGCGCAAATACCAGTCCGACAAGTCCTATGTGCCTGTGATTGCACCAGAACCCTAACCCTTCAAAACTGGAACACAGTAATGCTGACATTACTGCTTGGCGGCAGAAATAGGTAGGTTAGTAATATACTCCTGTGAGGTTGTTAGTATATGACAAGTAACCCTATAAAGGTTATTGCTGTGTGTTACACCGTTCACAATTTAGTTAAATGATAGAAACAAGGAACTTCATTAGTGGAATCACTGTCTCTTAAGATAGAGGTTCACCCTGTTTATGAGACAGGGTCGTCCATTGCTATCCTGATTCACAAATTGAACACAGTCATCTTTACGTTTAAATATAATTTTTGTATGTTGTATTTTTCTAATTTGTATTTGTGGAAATAAATATACAATTTAAATATAACGAGTAACGACATCTCTAGCCAGGGCTGGTTGCTGTAAAGGTATCTAACTGGGTGACGAAATACTTAAGATTTCTCATAGATGGCGCTACGGCTAAAAAATCGTTGAAAAAGTCAAATACAAAAAC